GGTAGGTAGGTAGGTAGGGTTTCGAAAGGCGAGGCACCAAAGCCAAAAGGACCAAAGCCGAGGCCCACAGCCCCTAGTACATGCGATCCCCGAGCCAAGCCCCGAAACCCGTCATTACATACGATCTCGTCATTACATACGATCTGCTTCCGAGACAGCACGACACGGGGATCTTCGTGGATTTCTATCTAGGCTTTAGGAAAAACATTGATGCAGTTTCGATGCTGTTTTGATGCAGTTTTGATGCGGTTTTATAAACTGCACCAAAACTGCATCAAAACTGCATCACCCTCGATGCAGTTTCGATGCAGTTTTATAAACTGCATCGAAACTGCATCGAAACAGCATCGAAACTGCATCAAGGTTGCTCGTAAAAAATCTATATGAACCCGCCCCGCTTCAACCCCAATCCCACCCCTGCCAACCCCACCCCAGCCCCAACCTCCCACCCCAAACCCCGGACCCCACCCCACACCGCCCATCCCACCCCAAGCCCAACCCACAGACACCCCACCCAGCAGACCCCACACCACCCCACAGTACCACACTTAGCTTTGCATGTTCACTTTCGAGACAGGAGACTTTTGCATGTTACTTTCGACGAGTCACTTCTCGAATGTAGAAGATGCACGAGTCACTTCTCGAATGTAGAAGATGCACGGCCTGCTGGTTCTGACCGAAGACGTGGTGTCCTGCTGCAATGTCTGCCCAGCCCGTGCGAAATCGCACTGATCGTAGAGGAACCTAGAGCGACTAGGATCCGAAACTGCCTCTGGAGATGTCTACTGAGGCCGAGTTAGCAGAGTAGGGCAGAGTAGGGTTGAGTAGGTTGCCCCGACCCCCTGATGAGGAAGCTCCTGTTCTTGATGCTGACGGACAAGGATTGCAGGAGTTGCCCCCGGCAACGGATGAAGGTGCTGATCCAGGTCCGAAGAAGAGGCCGGCCTCGGCGATGGTCGAAGGCGAGCAGGGCGAGGAGGATGAGGACGATGCCCCTGTGATGAAAAAGCCTGCTGCCAAGAAAGTGGCAAAGAAGCCTGCCGCAGCTGACGAGAAAGCCCCACCCAAGCCCAAATCCAAGAGCAAGCCGGTCCAGCCAAATCCGAAGTTGCCACCAGTCCCCAAGACCAAAGCCAAAGCCAAGGCAAAGGGTAGCCCCAAGGCCAAGAATACCCCGAAGAGCAAAGCCAAGCCAACCACCCCGCCCAAAGAGGAGAAGGGAGAGGATATGGAAGAGGAGCAGCCTGAGGAGGAACAGCCCCGCGAGGTTGATCAGGAAGTGGACCCCAGCAGTTCCTTCCAGCTTGCTATCCCGGCTGACACCCGGGACAGGTCCAAGTCCAACAAGTTCAAGAAGCTGGTGGCCGACCAAGCTTTGCCGGACTTCGTGCTCAAAGAGTGGGCTCGCACACAGTCTATGACGACAGGCCGGCTCCAGGCGCAGCGCCTGCTGATCAACCAGGCCCTGGACCACGACTCGAACGGGAAGCTGGTGGTCGCCCTTCAGAAGCCGTACTTCAAACAGTTGGAGGAGCCACTGCCTTTTTGCACAGTCACATTTACATTCGGCTTCTTTACATTCGAGGGGGTGCAGACATGAA